ATATATATATATATATATATACACACACAATATATTTCTAATATCATAAATATATTAACAGCTGTCAGTCCAACTATACCTTGGATAAATGTCCACACTATTTTTGTGCATTACGATCCTGTTCGTGTGAGAAATAAGACGGAATTACCTGTAACACAGAGTCAGATTTTTAGTCGCACTTTGATAAAAACGTACGTCGTGGCAGCGTCTTGTGCACGGCAAAAGTTTGGCTCATCCGTGAAAAAACTACCAGAACCTGTGACTGTGCAATGCATTCAATCAGATGGAAAGAATTATCACTTTTTCGTATTTCAACTCAATTCGTTAGATGCCAATGATGTCAGTGTAAAGAATTTCTGGTATCCTTTATCGCCGTTGACGCTTTATGAAAAAGCTGAATATAATAATGCTAGACCAGTAGTCGAAGGATACAATCCAGAAGTATTCAGAAGAATATTTGCGTTTTACAGGAATGGAAGTTAAATAAAATCTGTTAAATTAAATAAAATTGTTAAAAGATTTTTTAATCTTTTTTATGAAGAATATTTTTATTTATATCAATAACATACTATTAATATACATCATGCCATCGTTATACAATGCTTAGAAGATTTTCAAAAAGCGTGCTTGGTTGCACATTCGGATTGATTTCTTTTGATTTTACGCGGAGACGATGATCCGATGGTGGTTTTATCAGAGTCTTCATAGAGGGATATGGTTTGGAATAAAAATATGTGTGACACAATGCCTGTAACAATAATTTCTTATTTTTATTTATGTTATGTCTATATCTTCTTTTGCTTTTTCTTTAATGAAATGCTATGAACAAAAATAATAGTCTAATAAAAACTACTAATAAAAAATCGAGGATAATAGAGATCTTATAACTCTGTGTTATATACCTCATTATCTATATGTCATTATATAATTTTGTATATTACCTGTTCAGCTGTGAGACGTTTCGACGAATTGTAAATCAAAATTTGCCTGATTAGATCAATAGCTTCCGGCTGAGCATCTTGAATAATATTTTCCCATGATGTGCTTTTGTGATAAGGAAAGGTGATTTTGTTGTAATCTGGTAACGAAGTTAATTCGGGCCAGGATTCGGATGTAGGAGAACCCAAATACTTCAGAACAATGGCCAATTGTTCAATATCAGTTTCACCCTGCAATTACAAGTAACAGAATACTGCTATATAAATTAATAATTTATTTCAATGAAAAAGGAATAATTTACTGGAAATAATGGGGAAGTGTTCAACATTTCACCAAATATGCAACCGATCGACCAAATATCGATCGCAGACGTGTAATAACGTGCTCCATAGAGTAGTTCCGGTGCTCGATACCACCGTGTAGCGACTTGATGTGAATACGGCTTTGTACCGTCCTTCCACATCAATCTACTTAAGCCAAAATCCGCAATTTTCAAGATACCTTTCGCACTGATCAACAAATTTGCAGGTTTCAAATCCTAAAATGTGAAACTCTTTAACATTGTAAAAGATTCGGATTACATACATCTGAATCTAAATTATTTTTAAATAAAAAGTTGTGTACCCTGTGCATTATATTTTTACCATGCACGTACGCTATGCCCTCCAACAACATTTTCATGTACGTTTTAATTTGTGCCAGCGTCAAAGATATCTCGAAGTCTCTTAATACTTCCCACAGACCTGTTGGCATGTATTCAAACACCATTATGAAGTCCAAACCATTTGGGAAAGCATCTAGTAGTTCCACTACCTGCAAACAAATGGTATAATGCATGTAAATTCGTTGAATTAATTCAGAAAATTACAGTAAATGCTTTAAATAAATTTTTTCTTGATTTGAAGAAAGCTAAAAAGATATCAGATGAAAGAAAGCTTACATAGGGATGCTTAAGTTGTTGCAGACTTTTTACTTCGCGTATGATTGATGTCGGTAGACCACCTTCGATCTTTTTAATCAGGATTTTCTTTAATGCTACTTCTTGATCTCGAGATGAGTCGTGGGCTTTCAGGACTATGCCTTGCGCTCCTTCACCGATTTGACCGTTGATAATATATTTGTCCATATTCTATTTTATTCAACAATTTATATTATTAAAATTACGAATAACAAATATTTTTTATTACTCTTGTATAAAAATAGTCGCATATATCAATCAGTATAAATATTATACACAACTAGATAAAATAATTAAAGGTATATTTGTTAAATAATTAAAATATATAATCAAAATTATTTATTAATTTATTTATTGTTATTAATGATTATTATTGCAAATGTAATAATTAAATACATAATATTTTATATAAAATATAATCGAAACTTAATATACTTACTTTTCAAGATTTTTATTAAATATAAATACATGAAAAGAAGATTAACGTGATTATATGAACTAAAATATATCTTTTATGTAAAAAGAAAATAATTATCGTTGTACGATATGATTATCCTGCAGCGTGGAATAAGCATGCTTTACAGTTTCTATGGTTACCATTGTGGTACACTGTATTATCATGCAATCGCTTCACAGCGCATGCGCGAACCTGTCAAAGATATCATATGTTTTATCATATTTCGTTAAGCAAATTTTGCAGTCAGATGCGAAAGTAATTTTTCTTTAATTAACAATCTAGGAAACGTTGACGATTGTGTTCAAGTTTAACTTTTTTTTTCTGTAAACGATACATTTATACATTAAGTTACATAAGAAAATATTAATTGTCCGTAATCGAGCCAAAGCGTCGAATAACGATGAAGCAACAGATAATTGATTCCAAAGCGAATCCTAGCTCAACCGGGGAAGCAGACGACTGTCTTTTCGAATATTTACACGCCGAGCTGGTCAATTATGTTTTGAGCAGATCGTCTAATGCCGCGGGCACATCTAATGCTGCTTGTTCGTCTAATGCAGTGAGTAATCGATCATGACAAGAGTAACTCAGCAAACACCAAGTTACATGTAACGTACCTATTAATTATAATTTTCTACTCAACAATATAACTGTGATCTAATATATTATGTTATATTACAATTATATTGAGTAGGAAACTAAAACTAACAGGTACATATAACTTACTTTTGGCTGAGAATAGCCAAGTCCTGTTATTTACTACAAAAGAACTCTTAAATTTTTTTATTTTCAATAGGAAGGTGAGGAGGAGCTCTCGCGTTTAGAATGGATGGGATTTAGCGTCGGATATAGAATTATTGAACGACTGACGAGAGAGTGGAGTAGATTCAAAGATGAGTTAGACATGATCAAATTTATCTGCACAGACTTCTGGTCTAGCCTGTATCACAAACAAATCGATAATCTCAGAACTAACCATCACGGAGTGTACGTATTGCAAGACAATGCCTTTAGGTTGCTAGATAAAGTTGGTACGAGCAATAGTAAGCAGTATCTCAAGGAGAGCCCTCGTCTACTGGCTTTTACTTGTGGCCTTCTTCGAGGTAGTTTAGCGAATCTTGGCATTATTAGCACTGTCACAGCAGAAACTACTACGTTACCAAGCTGTAAGTTCCATGTTCAAGTTCAAAAGATTTAATAGTCATTCTGAGACTCGAGAAATAAGAAGGTACAGAGGTAAAAAGATATATAGTAAATCTCTTATGTGAAATGTAAAATATGACTAAATATTTATCGTATCATGACATACATATTTTTATTGTATTTAGTGGAAAAAATATATTAATATTCCTAGGGATGAAGTATTTTCTGATATTCTTATACAATGTTTATATCCATTTGTGAACTTTGCTCCGATCCCAAAATATAATGAAAAATAAAGAATTAATATATGTCTACATTCATACAACAATTTTCGTTTCACATTTTTTTTTATTTTGTTCGTCTGTATTTGCCTTTACATTTGCATTGATAAATATTCATAAAATTATTACAAAAGTGACTTAAATACTTAAACTGTATAAATGCCATATTGACAATTATGTATTATGTAAATAATACATTCAATTTAGATAATATAAGAATAGTATCAAATACAATATTAAAAAGGAAGAAACTTCCTGACATAATTAATCTTAATTATCGAAACATACACAACACAGGTGACAATCTTGATCACATACAACATGGAACGGATTTTATGCTATACCATTATTTCGCGTTGCCATCATCATCCTTAGTAATAAAATCAAAAATTTCGTTTCGACTTACAAGTCCGATTAAAGCATCATGATCGTCTACAACCACGACATAAGATTCTTTTTCAAGAATACGCGACACTTTACCGATTGTCGTAGAAGCTGTGATCTTCGTAAACTGTTTAGTCATGATTTTCTCAGCGAAATCAGTTCCATTCACTGTACCGGATATTAAATGAGATAGAAGGGCATCCAATGTGATAACGCCTAGCACTTTTGTTTCCTTCGCATCAGTTACTAACAATTGCTGAATGTTTTGATTAGAGGATTTCAAAAAATCCACAACATTTTGACATGACATCTCCCTTAATAATATATGCTTCTTTAGTGATAACTTTGATACTGGTAAGTTCCACCACTTTTTATTTTCTTCTGTTGAAGGTTTAGACACCTGAAAATAAATTGTAATTTAAGTAAATATTTAATATTTGCAATATATTTACGATATTCTAGATGTATAATTTATAACTTTACCAAAAAATCTCTAGCTTCCATCCATTGATCTGACACAAATTTAGTCATGTAATTTCTTATACTGTCCGGTAAGAGAACGACCAAACGTTTATCCGCAGGCAAGTCTTTGGCGACTTTCAACGCCGCCACGAGTGCCGCACCACTGCTACCGCCACACAACAATCCTTCTTCCCTAATTAATTCTCGCGCCGCTTTTAAAGATTCGTCGTCTTCAGTTTTGTGCCACTCATCAACCACTTTTCGATCTAAAACGGTAGGAATGAAGTCATAACCAATTCCTTCTACTTCGTAGAAACCAACGCTGTTTTCATTCAATTCAGGTGGTTCCGCTAAAATGCTGCCTTTAGGATCTACTCCGATAATTTTTACACTAGGCGATAATTCCTTCAATTTTCTTCCAATTCCGGATATAGTGCCTCCAGTGCCAGCACCAAGTACCACATAATCTACATTGCCGTCGCATTGCTCCCAAATTTCTGTTGCAGTTTGGTCATAGTGCGCCAATGGATTACCAGGATTTGTATACTATGTAACATTTAATAGTATTTACATTAATTTACATAAAATAATAGTATTTACATAAAAATATAATTCATTAATTAAAGAATGTTTTAAAAAAATTATTGAAATAAGGCACCTGATCTAAAACAATACTATTGGGTATTTCCTTTTGCAATTTTTGGGCAACACTGATATGCGCTTCCGGACTGTCCCAAGAAGCTTCAGTCGGTGTTCTAACTATATCTGCACCCAAAGCGCGAAGCACATAGACTTTTTCATTAGACATTTTCTCTGGCATTACGATGATGCATTTATAGCCCTTGACCACTGCGGCCATGGCTAAACCGATTCCAGTGTTTCCGCTTGTTGGTTCGATGATGGTATATCCCGATTTTATTAGACCCTTTTCTTCCGCATCTGAGATCATTCTCTCCGCTATTCTATCTTTGACAGATCCTCCGGGATTAAAGAATTCACATTTAACGTCTGTATAACATAGAAAAATTTTCTCATCAGATTTTTCTTATTAAAGAAAATTTCTATTCTATAAAATATAATTAATATAATATCAAATTTGTACTAACACATTTCACATTTTATTCCATGAGCCTTGGGAATTTTATTAAGTCGAATGAGAGGTGTCTGGCCAATTGTACTTAAAATGTTTGGCAATATCTTTTTACGATTTGGAAACCTAGAAAATAACGCAAACATGCTATTATCATATCTGTTACATTAATATCTTACAATAACTATCTAAGTCATGTTTATTTGCATAGCCCATTACAGTTTATGGCAATATTTATGACAAGTTTTATGATGTTCTCTCTTTGTTTCATGTATGACAATGTAGTAATAACACATATTTGTATAGTTTACTGATAAACTTTGATATCTCAAAGCAGGTGAAATTTTTCTTCTGTTAAAATTAGCACAAGTTTGTAATGTATATCGTGCAATTACGAAAAGATGTGTAAATTGATTATATGGACAAAATTTTTTGTAAAGCTTTCAGTTATGACAAACTTACTTCGTTTGTTTCGTATGTGGTGAATTTTCTCCATTCACTTTATATGTACATTTAGATGGTCGGTCTGGCCGTATCAGTTCCATTATATAGCAGTCTTTTCCTTTGTTTATCAATCAAGTAAAAATTAGCTGTAATAAATATAATAATATAAAAGATATTTAAAAAATCATTTATTTATATGATAGATATATATTACACACTACTGAATATAAGATCTTAGTGAACATAGATCCAACCATTTCTGAGATATAAACTTTTTTTTTGTATGTTCATCAATGACTTCTTAATAGCTTCTACGTATCTCATATGATGTTTATCTCAGTATTTATAAACGATATCCTAAATGTCTCCATTCAATTTCCATAAATACTTCATAACAAAAGATTTTAGGCAATTAGTTATAACTGTGTTCATCAAATCATCAAATAATATATACAGTTGATAACAAATGATTTATTGTCAGTGAAATTTTCTGTTATGAAATATAGGAATAAAATGATGAAATATGAATATAGGAATTAAATGACAACATTGTAGAAGCTAATAAGTCATCCGTAATGCTAACATACAAAAAAAATATTTATATCAGAAACAGTCAAGCTTATTTCGACCTATGTTCATTAAGATTGTTTTATGCAGTATTGTATGTGTTATCTGTTATATATAAATGCTGAATGATTTTTTTACTCCTTATAAATTATATCTCTCAGATATTTAAAAAGTTCCTTAAATTTATAAATACATCTTTTATAAATATCTTGAATATTTAAATGTGCATTTAAATATTATATATCTTAAATATTTTAAAAGATATCTTAAAGCTTATATGTATTTTCGTAAGTTTAACAGCGAGACATCAACGTGGCAGTAAATAAGTTTAACTTCTTTTGCAATTTTTTTTCTTGTTTTTCTTGCACAATTTAAGTTCAAAAATGTTCTACAGATAAAATTATAGAAGAAACTGTGATAACTCAGATAGCCGAATCTGACAAAACAGATTTGCAAAGTCTGTTACAAACTTTGTTGGTAAATACTTTGTCAGCAGAAATAATGAAATTTGCCACAAATATGATAGCAAATCGACTATGGAAAAAGCCGAGCAAACTCTACTATCTCGTGACTATTTAAATGATACACAATGATTTTAATTTACTTACCACTATTATCAGCGTTAATTGGTATTGAGATTAAATATTCTATAAAATTAATATGCCGGTTCTTGCTAGATACAGAAGCACGCTTTATCACAGAACGCCAAGCTTGAAGCAAAATACAAATGTAAAATAAAAAGAGAAACAAATATAAGATTCAAAATATATTTAGGCTGTATAGTATATCACAATTGCGTTGTTGATCACAATGGATCCTAGACCAGAGTTGGACTGAAGTGCACTGAAAATCAACTCACATACACATGTTTATATCTCTTTTATCTCCCGACCTTGAATTCTATATACATGTGCACGTTCGGCAGCTTGAATTTCAAGCTTCGTCATCGATAGTTGGTTATGTCAGCATTACCGATTATCCATTCGTAAAATTTATCTACAGCTGAATTTTCAAACATGCTATTTCCAGCTGATTTCCGTTGTATTGACTGTAACTCGAAATTACGTTGATAGCACGCGATCATGCCGCCGAAGAAGAACGCCGGTGCCGCGAAGTCCAGCAAGGGAAAATCCTCGGAGGAGAGCAGCGGCGGGAAGACAGAGAAAAAAGGAGGAACTTCGGTAAAGGTGAAGATGCATTTTAACATATTTGGAATTTATCTGATAGCGACATGTGTATCACATGTAATCGGTCTTTCAATGATTGATTACTCCAGTTACAAATGTTGTAAAAATCTAAAAATAGATTTTTACTATTGATTGTCATTTTCTTCATACATTTTTTCCCTGGGCACAGGTTAGACATATTTTGTGCGAGAAACAGTCCAAGATATTGGAGGCATTGGAGAAGTTGAAGACTGGTCAAAAATTCAATGAGGTTGCGGCAACATACAGCGAGGACAAAGCCAGATCTGGGGTAACATAAAGAATATATTTATATTCTTTGGATATGTGAATACTTAGAGAGGAAATGTATTATAAATCTTGTATTTTATTTATTATTTTAAAGGGTGATCTTGGTTGGATGACGCGAGGTTCCATGGTGGGACCTTTCCAAGATGCTGCCTTTGCATTACCAGTTTCTAGCCTGGGATCTCCGGTTTATACGGATCCACCAGTAAAAACGAAGTTCGGGTATCACATCATAATGGTGGAAGGTAAAAAGTAATCAAAAATAATTGCCAAAACTTTTTTAAACTCTTTTGTGAATATTTTGTCTTGTTACATATCTGATGGAGTAAATATATATTATATCATTTAGGTACTGATTTTTTAAATATCTGTGATATTTATTATAATAAGCATGTTTTGTATATCTTGAATTTTTACATGAAGAAAGTAATTCAGGGTAATTTAACCCAATAATACTTGCCATAAATTGATACATATAAAGTAAAATGATGTTTTTTAATAATAAATAAATTCGTCATATTATTCATTCATAAATTTATTGCTATCTGAATATATAATTAGTATAATATTTTAGGAATATATAATTTTTTATATAGAGTAAACTAATCTATAAATCTTGAACTGCAGTCTCTCTATTAAATATAATTTTCCATGTGTATCTATGATTATATCTAGTATATAATATAAATAGTGATATTTCCTGAAGTTAACATTCATAAAATTTTCATTAAATAATTCATATTTTTTGGGTAAATGAGAGTATGGAAGTATTAAATACAATAAATAATAATGATATACTATTCAGTCGCTTCACTGGCGTGTCGTATAGATCGCTTTTGAACGTTGTAATTTTATAGGTATGCTTAAATCTACTCAAACCAAGATAAAGTTGTCATTACTTAGTTTTTTTTTTCCATTATATACGAATATTAGGATTGGTGAAGCGAACATATTTCAAAAGAGACTCGTTATCCTCGCAGACCCATGGTTTCTTGTGATGACATGCCACGTCGTGCCAATTCACTCCATCGTTGTAGAATTGATTGAGGATTGCAAGGCAATTTTCAGGAGCGCCTCCCTGAAGAGCCTCACGATTATCAGGTTGCGGTTTGCCAATGCTAAAAACGTACATATTGTCCACAATAATTCTTGCGAGATGCATATATTATTGTTTTTATATCGTAGATATTTAAGAAAGTTGAGTATTAGACCCTGAGTATTGATATGCGTGTATATACAGAGATCATTACAGAACAGATAATAACAGGAATTTACACTGAATAGAAAAAGATCTAATCACAACCGTTCGACATCCTTGATCTCAATAATGAAAATAGCATTTGTAATCTCTTGGCATCTTGATATAAGCATTCTAAGAGGCATTATTTTCACATACAAAATTATAGGTTGATATATGCTATAAGAATGCGTTATACTGCAAATAATAAATCTTACCCGCCACTCTCAGACCAGTCATTTTGGCTACGATCGTTGGTCGGCGCGAGCTTCTGTAATTCGGCGGTCCAGAACCAGCCGTTGATGTGAAGGGGTTGTAGATCCGGCCGATCACAGCCTTTGAAATCACATAGACGACCGGAGGTCCAGATGTACTTTATGTTGTCTACAAGAGAAACGTTTCATTTCGTCATCCTTTGTTTTTGCTTTCATAAATACAACTTGCAGAATCATGCATACTTTGAACGATGTGACTCTTGATGAATTCATTCTCGGCCGAGGTTTCCAACGAAACCAGGTCCATACAACGTTGTCGGCAGAAGTTTCTACCTGACAGCCAATCTACCTCCTGTCCAGTTGTCCTCGGATCGGCCCATGAGAAGTAATAACCTTTTCCATTGAATCGTCGATGGATACTTCCTGTGAAAAACCGTAATTAGAAGATGAAGCAAATCAGATAGGCAATAAACAATAGGCCATAATCTTTATGAATATCTTTGAACGTGAGAGTTAACCGGGAAGAGCTGGAGATCTTTCGCTCATTCCCGGAGTGAAAGTTACGAAATTAGTGTCAGTCATGACGATGACCTCGGAGGACCACAGTCACGACCTAGACATTGGCACCAGTGTAGTATGCTGATTACATCGTCACTTTCTAAATAAAGAAAAAGAAAGTTTTTTATGAGGCGTGTCTTGAAACACGTCGATAGGCTACGCCTAATGAATGAATAATCGGTTATCTGAGTTCCGTACATACCACATTCTTTCGTCTTAGAAGTCTGAAAGCTTGACGATGTTCCATCAGACAGTTTTGTATTATGATTTAATTCTTCTATCATTAGATTTTTTTAATAAGATTTTTATATAGAATAGAGAAAATTCATCTTATTTTAATAAAGATGAAAAATTAATAAAAATAGACTAAGAAAATAATATACATATCATCAAGACGATAATCCAGGAGACATCAATCAGATTGTTTATATTTATAATACGAGATACAATTTTAATTAAAATTTTAATTAAAAGAGTCTTTCAACTTGTAAGTTAAAATTATTTCATTATCTTTAATAAAAATAGAATTTAAAAAACAGGAATGTAATTTAAATAAAATTTAATCTTTTTTTGGGATTGATAAATCTTTTATTACGAATTATCTTGATTAATAATATAGCTTATCAGAATCTAGGAAGCGGAAGTTTCTCAAAAGATTTCTTATTCCTGATCAAAATCTGAGAATCGGTTCCAAAAGAGTTCAAGATTATATTCTTGGAAAAGAGGAAAATTTGATTGATAAATCGTTTATCTACGAATTATCTTTGTTTACAATGTAGCTTATAAGAACCTGAGAACTGATTTCCAAAAGATTTTCCATTCCAAAATAGATAAGCATGAATATTCTAACAATGATATATTATCACCATTTCGATCCAATCAAAAAATGATGAAAATGCCAACTGACATTCCGTACTACTTACGACGAGGACGAGAACATTTCCAATTCAAATGCGTTCGGGTTACACTGCTGTCCGTGTCATCGTCACACTTTCTATAACGAGCGTGAACCCAGAAAAACGCGAGGTATAAGGCTGGATGGGCACGTATAATTAGCGATGGTGTTAACTAACGATAGACGTCGATGTAAGAGGACGCATTGGACGGGGATGGCTGAAGAGTCGAGAGTTAAACAATGACCTCGAAGCGGACTGAGGCAGAGTAGGAAGTAAAAAATCAAAGTAGGAGGAGAATTTCGTCAGGATTATAGGTCACGGCCTCTCTTTAATAACAAATATTGAAAATACTTTCTCTAGTTCGAGGTTTTCTTGGATAAACAATCAATTGTCGAGGAAAACAGGAATAAGGAAGACTCTTTCCAGCGTGGATCTTTAAGCATCGCGGGAACATATTACTTATCTTAGTAGAAAATCAACAAAGGTTCTCTAAATGATGATTTCTATGATCAATCTAGTAGCATAAAATTAATAATGGCAATAGCAATTTCCTTTGTCAGCCAAGAATAATAATAACAGTATTACATTAATTACTTTTAATTTTAAACAATATTTTTAAAAATTAATTTTACACGTCATTTTTTCTTCATTTCTCTCTTTCTCATTTCTAAACAATATAGAAATTTAAAGATACAAAGGATAATTAAAAAATTTTAAATGTTTTTAAAAGTTATTTTCATGTTCCTTAGGTAGATTAAAATAATGACATAAATGTGTAAAAAGTAAGCGATATAATTTAATTAGGTATTTATTATTTTGATACACTAGCTAATAATTTTATAATTTCTTTCTTTTAGATCAAAAAACTGCAAATAATATGGTCAAACCGTTTATATCTTTTGTTATGAAATTTATGTTATATAAATGTTTCCGCTATAAAAAAAATTTGCGTTGACTTTTATACTCCTCTTTTTAATAATATTGACAATAATAAATATGAGACTTACTTTGCGCGCAAAGTGCTGGATTCGGTGATTCTAGAATTCGACCGCTGGGTTGTGGTTGAAATTGGGCAGAGGACAACGTCACCAAAGCAGTAAGAAGTACGAATGTTATCATTTTTCTTCTTTTTACGCCACGGTCACTAAAGAAATATGAAATTAATGTACATGAACATAATTTCCATGATCTGTTCTAATTTAAAGAAATTTATTTTTAGCCTATTGTGATCATTAGTGCTTTCTTCGTTATCTGTGGATTTACATAAATGTCCGAACTTTCATGAAGAAGCAATTCTTAAACCGGTTTCGTGATGCCAATATTATACAGGGTGGTACCTTACGCTCAATCTTTTTTTTGTGTGACATAAATATTTCAACTAGTGCCAGTTTTTAATTTTTCTTGCAAATAATAATATTAAAATATAATATCGATTATACAAAATCCATTCGCAATAATTTTACTGAATGTTAGTAAATAAATATTGCAATTTTTTAAATATTAATTACATTGATTAAAATTACTTTGTAATAATTTAATTAATTCGTAATAATTTGAAATTTAACATTTAATATTTTACATAATGAATACAGAATGATGTAATCTTGATATAATCTAACTTCTTACTATAAATCATCAAAATATAATCTTAACTGCATAACATTCACATATTAAATTAATTTACTACGATCAGCCTGCGATCGAGTGTTTTCTTTGTTAAACTTACCTTTTTTTCTTGTAATCGATTTTCTTGTAATCGATGATTGAACAGTTGAATATCTCCACCAAAGAACGTCAAAAGGACGAATATTCACTGATGTTGTCTTGCAGACGTTCTGCAAAGAACTGCAATACTTTCTTGGCAGGCACCCCTATATATACACAAGGAGGACACGTCGTGTCAGTACTTTTACCACCCGCTGAATAACGTTTTCGAGAGACGGGTCTCGCCCATCACGAAGACTTGGACGCTGTACGTTTCGTGAACTGCTCGTTCCCTCTTTCTTTCCCTCTTCTGTAAGGAGAACCGTGCTTGGGCGTGGAGACGTGTTTCCAATGATATTTCAAGTGATGCTCAAAAACTCTTCCGTCCTCGATGCGGAAAGGATCTTTTCTCCAAAAAATATGGAATATTGGAAGAATTCTGCCTTAAAAAAAAAAAAACTTTCCTTCTATTATTGTGGCAGCAATTGGACATGAAAGCGGACAATATACGCGTGATGACATTTGGATTGCAGAATATACTCCTAAAAATAAAATGAATAGAATAGTTATTGCAACCACGAAGAGATTTAAAACCCAGAACCATTACATGCATCATTTGAATTTAATATGGTTCTAATTCCGAGTTCTTTGCGCCTTACAATAGTTTCTAAAACACACAATTATTTGGATGTCCGCTTTCGATTTTCACTTATTTGCTATTGTTAATTAAACTGTGAATAATTATTTATATTGAATATAGTCAATATTTAGTGAATGTATGCAAAGTTATTATATATTGATCATATCGTCTGGAAACGCTTTAAGACCGCAATATATCTAATTTTTTTCATGTTACTGTGTTTATCCATTTATAATCATAAGTGATTCATAAATTTTTATC